GGGAGGAGCTGGCCGGGGGGAGTGCGGCGGTCCTTTTCCTTGCCATAAATGCAAATCTGAGGAGGGAACTGAGGTTCCCCCCGGGCGTACCTGGGGCCGAACGGAGACCTGCCAAGCGCGGGGGCTGTGAGCGTCTCCCTGCAAAGCAAGGATTCCAGACTTGGTATCGGTCAATGGGTTTGCAGATATTTAATGCTGACTTGGGATATCTAAATAGAACAATCCAGCGGCACGTTGGTTGAACTTTGTTTGTGGTGTGCTTTGTAGCATAACCTGACTTTAATTTAAGATACTGGGAATTGGTTCAGGACAAGGAGAAACTTCCTCTGTGTGCGTGTATATATAAAATGTAGGTTGGTACTGATGTTGCTTTGCCATGCACTGCTTTTATCTTTCAGGTTACATCTTTTCAAGGAGTGGCTGGTCGCAGCCTCTGCACATCCGCCCCTCATGAACACCCAGAACACGGAAGATTAGTTTATAAAGGAAATTTGGCAAAGGCAGTGTTAGGTATGTGAGTTGAAGTGATTTGTATTGCTTTTTTTTTTTAATTTAACAGTGTTTGGTAACTTTAAAATGCAACATTATAAAAGTGAATGTTCTTCTTTCCAACTCTGCTAAAACCTGCAGCCTCTGCACATCCGCCCCTCATGAACACCCAGAACACGGAAGATTAGTTTATAAAGGAAATTTGGCAAAGGCAGTGTTAGGTATGTGAGTTGAAGTGATTTGTATTGCTTTTTTTTTTTAATTTAACAGTGTTTGGTAACTTTAAAATGCAACATTATAAAAGTGAATGTTCTTCTTTCCAACTCTGCTAAAACCTAGATCCTCTATACAGCAAAAAAATGTGGTGGTGGTGCTTGGTTTCTGCTTCTACACTTAGGTCTGCAGGGAGTTCTCTAGGTACTGTGCATCTTGGTAATCCCTCAGCCTTCTTCTGGTTCTCTTGCAGCCTTTGGAGTGCATTACCTAACCCAACAGCCAACAAAGAATAGCTTTTTTGTAGTAGTAATAGTAACTGCTACTTGCATTCTTTATGCTTTCCAATGGTACTGAAATGTTTCTAAAGTAGACAGATACTATGATGAAATGCAGTATCTGTAATAAGACTTTGTTGATCTTTCATTGACCAGTTAATGTTACAAAGTCCTAGTGAAAAGTAATCAGTTGGATGTTTTCTGATACGCATTTTTGAGATGTGTCTTAAAGAAGGAGGAAGTATGTCTTAACATTCTTAATTATGACAGCATCTTAGACTACCGGTTCTCATGGTCGCTTAAGGACTGTGAGTGATCAACAGCACTGACTACTGTCTTTCAAGCTGCACGCAAGATGGCTGTGGAGTACTTGTTAATACTGAATAACCTAGGGTTTTCAAGTTATGCATGGTGAGGGACCAAGCAAGCTTCTTTGTAATGCACACTGAATGTCAACATTAGTTGTTGATGGAGAAAGAAATTCCCAGTCATATCTGTAGTGATTACCATTTTGTGTGTCTGTTACTGGACTCAGATTTCTTTGGAACTCAGTTTCCTGTCTGTGAGGTGAAAACTTCATAGGTGTGTATAACAGCTAGTAGCTGGCTTCATCATAGAAACAGAGCCATCTGACAGCTTTGATAAACCCAACATGAGTAATGCCATTGACATATAGTAGCAGAACTTATGTGATTACAGATAAACTTTTACTCATAAATGTTAACATTCATGTTCTTTTTCTTTTGCTTTATGTAGGTGTGAGGTTTTTCTCTTACTCCACCAGCATATTCAACCTGTTCATGATGCCCTACATCATGCTCAAAACTGGTGTTGGATTTGAAAGCCTGTTGATACAAGCTGCCTTTTATGGGTTGATCGGTTTTTTTACATTTGTAACACCGGTTACTTTGCATGTCCTTACAAAAGGCTATGTGATTCGACTCTATTATAAAGATGAAATGGACACGTATACAGCCATTACATACAATGCGATCTTGGCAGAAAAAGCAACTGTTTTCCATCAGAAAGATGTAAAGATTCCAGACATCACCAAGATGTTCACAACATTTTATGCTAAAACGAAGTCAATGCTTGTTAATCCGACGCTTTTCCCGAACCCTCAGGATTTTAACCATCTCATGGGCTATGACAAATCCTTTTATTTTAACTTAGAGGAGGAGAAGGAAGCTGGTGAAAGGAAATAATTTGAAGATAATGAATGTCACTGTCATTGTTTGTGTTGCAGTGCTATATATGTGAAAGAATGTAAAGTTCTATTACACTTTAAGTATCAGATAACTAGAGTTCCCCAAATGCATTTTGGAATGTATAAAAAAACCCCATTTTTTAAAAACTTGTAAACAATGCAGCGGTTTCTTCAGAGTTAATGACATAAAACATAGTAAAAAAAAAAATGCTTAGATGTGTTTTGTGCTTGTTTGTTCTTGGCCTGGTTTTTATTGTTAACTATCCAGAAGAACTGTAAAATGCATGGGCTGTGCAGCAATCTCCCCATCTCCATTTCAAAAGGAACCATTCATATAAAGAAAAATCATCAATACCCATTACCTGTCAAGTACATAGTTAAGCTTTTAAGCCTTAAAGATTAATGGTACTTAATCCAAAAAGGTGGTGCTTTTACGTCAGCACTGCTGATGGGATAGAGGGAGTGGGGATGGCTTTGACTTCCCTTTGTGAGAGCATCGGTAGCCAGGAGGAGTCTTCAGAAAGCAGACGGGTATTGCTGGTAGTTCCTGCTACAGCCTCCTTCTAGAGGCCTGCAGGCCTCTGGAGAGGATGGGGAAGTGGCTGTGTCCCAGTAATCCCTGGTTACTCACAGCTACTAAATGGTCTCTTAAGCTGGAGTCCCACTCTGAGCAACCCTGTCCCCAGGGGTGGAGAACAAGAAGCCTCTCTTTGTGCTTGGTGGGGGGAAGCACCTTAGCAGAAGATTTGCTCTGTGAATATCCCATTGAAAACGTGCTCTATTTGAACCAACTTAATGAAAATACTAGCAGCTAGTGGCTAAAGTGGACTCTGTCAGTGTTTATGTAAGGTGGGGAAGCAAAAGGGATCTCCTGTAGAGTACTGTTCAGATCTTGTGCCTTTAAAAAACTTACCTCTTGATTTTTAGCACTGCAATGAAAGCCGCCCTTATCTCAAGTAAAAAGAGGATGAGATCTTTTTGTGTGACTAGCCTGGTTAGTTCTGCACTCCAAGTATGCAGAAACTGGACTTAAATGTTTTTAGCCCAAGGAGAGATTTGTCATGTAAACTGACAGATAACTTGTTTTCAAATCATGAAGGGCCTAAATATTTTGAGGTTTTCAAAATTACAGAATTAAAAAAAAAAAAAAGAGCAAAATTCAAATTAATCCTTTTGCATTAGCAGTGCCCTTTGTAATAAGTAAATCTGATGCTTGCTACTAATTAAGTTATCCTGTTACTGCAAATAAAAAATAATTACAGCTACCTTTACAGATGTTTCCTAAATTCTAGCTGAAAAAAATGTATTGAAAAGTCTAAATGCTAAATGTGTTCCAAGACTGTTATTTCAGTTTCCTGTCATAGGATCATATTAAGATGTCAGTGTTTTTAAGTGTTGTTTTTCTGGTTGTTGAACTGCTCTCAGTGTACCTGCTGAGTAATTAAAAAGCAAATCATCACATCCAGATATTTTTGAGGCAGTTCTTTTGTGTTGGCTATAAATTTAAAAGCCTGATCTAACCCCATTAAGCCAGTATCACTTCATAGGTAACAATAATACATATTAAAAAAAAATTCCATAAATGATGTTGAAGATGTAAGACCAGTAACAAACAATTCTGATCACCTGGTTGTACTACTTGTCCTTATTGAAACGATGTTTTACACCTAATTAAAAAGAATATTTTAATTCTTTCCACACCTGATGCATTTGCTCTTCTTTTTGTGCTTGCAGATGAAGTTAACTTAATCTTTGAATGCCAAATATAGGGAGAACAGGAAATAAGAGTTTACAAGAGAAGGTAAAGGAAAGGTCCTAAAATTATATTTATGTACCCCTTGAGCAATATCAAAATCCTCAGCTTTTGCTTCTGACTGCAGGAAGTTTTCATTGTTAAATTTGAGATTTGGCCAATTCAGATTTAAGCAGTGATAGTAAGAGATTTCCATCCCAGTGGTTAAGTTTCTCAAAAAAGTATGGAAGGTAAACATTGTTTCTTCTGTCTCTTCTGGCAGTGAAATGCAAGTTAAGCTCGTAGGTGGCTTTCTGACATACAGATTATTTAAAAAAAAAAAAAAATTCAATAAAAATAATTTCTAAATCCACATTTCTACTAGAAGATAGATGATTATTCTGTTCACAATGTAGTCTCAGAAAAGTATTTTATACTTCCAAAGTGCAACTTGAAAATAATTATAATTCATAGCTTTCTTTTAATAGTACTTTCATATTAAAGAAAGGCAAGACCTAACTTACTAGAGATGCACAATATTCTACGCACTTCAATCTTGTTTGCTGCTAACTTGGCAAACTCAGTTTGGGAAACAACCAAGTTGTAAATCTTAAAGTCATAATACTTGTTATGGTTACCAAATAAATATGGCTTGGGCCCCATCCCTGTTAGTGTTTGTACCCCTGCCTGTCCTTGTGTATGATCCCAAGATTCTCAGATTTGGCTTTTTTGCAGTTTTTGCTTACAGTGTGTACTTGGCATCATAGAATCATTTAGGTTGGAAAAGACCTTTAAGATCATCGAGTCCAACTGTGAACCAACACTCTCAAGTCCACCTCTAAACCATGTCCCTAAGTGCCACATCTGCACATCTCTTAAATACCTCCAGGGACGATAACTCTACCACTTCCATGGGCAGCCTGTTCCAGTGCTTGACAACCCTTTTGGTACAGAAGAGATTTCCTAATATCCAATCTAAACCTCCCCTGGCACAACTTGATGTTTCCTCTTGTCCTATTGCTTGTTACGTGGGAGAAGAGACTGACACCCACCTCACTACACCCTCCTTTCAGGTAGCTGTAGAGAGCAATAAGGTCTCCGCTCAGCCTCCTTTTCTCCAGGCTAAACAACCCCAGTTCCCTCAGCTACTCCTCATAAGACTTGTGCTCCAGGCCCTTCACCACCTTCGTTGCCCTTCTTTGGACACCTCAATATCTTTTTTTGTAGTGAGGAGCCCAAAACTGAACACAATATTCAAGTATACTTGCACATATGTGACAGGTTTAGATCCCTGGAGCTTGTTGAGAGCAGTAGAGGCTAATACTCAAATTAATGTAGTTTATTCTTCACGTTAGAAACAAAACAAAGGAATGGAAATGTAATCCTAAAAGACTTGTAGATGCATTTTCTGTTTTACTTTGGGTTCTGAACAGTCTGTCTTAATACAGGTATTTAATAGTGCACTCGGCACATTTCCAAGTGGAAACGTCTGAAATTCTTGGTGTCCTAAGCTAGGAAATGTGCATAAACTAAAACAGGCCCTCTTGCTACTGACAAATCCTGCAAGAGAATACTGTAGTTTGAATGTTTCAATAAACATCGCTATCAAGTATTTCCGAAAGCCTGGTTACGTTAGCTCCACACCTTTCACAATCCTGTTAATTTTGTGAACTACTATTTTCTTCTAGTTTATTTTTCTTCAGTTTTATATACTTGGTGAAAAACAGTTCTAATTGCAGAAGTGTTGCTACTTGCTAACATTTTCATTGCTGGAAGTTGCTGATGTTTCACTGAGTGTAACTTGCATACAACATGGAAGAAACAATTTGTAAGACCTAGAAAATGTGCTCATACATGTGGAGATTCTGAAGGAAACACTGGTGTAGAAGCCCTGTCTTCTAAAATACATGATTTATAAGCTGTCTTATTTGCAAGGCTACACTTTGTCCGAAGACTGCCAGCTCCTGCAGCCTTTCCAGTACCATCCAGTCGCTTTTCCCGAGCAGCTGGGTCTTGCATCTTGCTCTGGTACCAGTTTCATTCAATCTGGTGTGAAGAGCAGGAACATATCCCCTTCCATCCTTAAAATCTTCCACAAAAGGTCATAGATGACTTGCTTGTTTTGCAAATTTTTCTTTTTAGTCTTTGACTACATGCTATTTTCATGCTGGTGTCCTCCCTTTTTCTCAACTTTTTGGCTTTGTCCACAATATTATTCATTATTTCCTATCTGTTCTTAATTAGAAAATACAGTCATTTTTGTTAGTTTTTTTTTAAATTAAATTATTCTACAACCCTTAGCCTTTTGTTAAAAATGTAAAGAATTCTAATGAGAAAATTATCCCCATTTGGTACTTCAAAGAGAAATCTTTAAAGCTCTGAGGTACTTCACACTTTTAACCACACTCTCTAGAACCAAAAAGGAAGTAATTTCACTGGAGCTTGCTTTATTACAAACCAAAGTCATCGTGTTGGCAAAGATGAAGAAAAGCTATGTAGATTTTTGCATGATACTCTGAGAGCCTAATTTAGGTGATGTAAACTTCATGAAATTCTGTTTGTGCTGTAAAAATTGAGAGCACACATGTCAATTATTACAATTGCTCAGTATAACTTAATAGGTGGAAAGTTGGTAAGCTGCTGTAATTTGTTTGCCCTGGAGTTCTGTGGTCATACCATGAATTTCTTCATGCCCCCATGTACAGCATAGCCTGCTGCAGCTCCCCTGGAGTTCTGTGGTCATACCATGAATTTCTTCATGCCCCCACGCACACCATAGCCTGCTGCAGCCCCCCTGACAAACGGGACATGTGTGCTAGCTAGGAGTTGGATCCACTATAATAAGATTATCCCACAGCTATACAGACCTCAGCGAGCAGCTATTTTAAGCAGGGAAGAATAGAGAACAAGAGCAAATGGCTGCAAAATATGTCCAGCTGTCTCCATTTCTGGAATACCAGGGTGGGCAGTGTTGCTGTGGTGTACTTTCTGTCAGCCTCAGGTAGGACACAGCCCTTTCGTCTCACTTCACCCTCTACCTTCTCTTCTTCTTGACAGCTTTAATGGTTATTGTATACTTGAGAGTATAACTATAAGCTTTAATCCTAAACTTGGCTTGGAAAGAATAAACCACAAGCCTGCTGGCAACAGACAGAGAGTTATTTCCAACATAATTGTTTCCACAGAATACCACCTGGTGTGTATTTGCTTCACTTTAATAGCCTCCAGTGGTTTAATGTGTTATGTTCAAATCAAACTACTAAGCCAAAGTGCATGCATTAAAAAAATATATTCAGAATATGGCACATCACTTTTTCTTTCTTTCCACAACTATTTGCTTTCTTACTCAAATGCTACCAACTCACGGCTTGATATGTGCTGGTGTACTGCTCTTGGGTCGGACTCCCCTGACACCCTCAAGCACTTTATCAGCTGCATGGAGAGGAGCTGAATCCTCTCCCTCTTTCTAGTATCCCTGGGCTTGACTTTCTACTTCCGCTACAAACATTGTCAAAGATAGGGTGAGAGGATTTGAGAAGAGAGATTTACGCATGAATTGCTGCAGTTTTCTACTTCTTATGTTGATTGCCTAGTGTGTTTTTGTTCACCTTATGCCTTATATACGGCCCCTTTATACTGGAGTGTCTTCAGCAGCAACCCTAAATCCAGCATCAGAAGTAATAAACATGTCTGCTTGTCTGCTTCCAGCTGCAAAAAGATCTACTTCAAAAACAATCACAAATGGTCCTGTAAGGAAAGTTAAATTATTATTGCCTCTTTTTTTATTGAATAAATGTGTTTAACATTTTAAAAGAGTTTTCCATTAACATGAGGTTTTGGTACTTACCAAGAACTAGGACATAATTTTTAATTCTGTCTGACTAACACATTGAAATTAGAGTACTTTCTTCTGCTGTACTTGTATACTGTTATTTATTTGTCTGTGATGAGATATTATGATAATGTACATTATAATTCTTTCCTGAGGGGGATTTCAGTGACTTTAAGTGCTTATCTGGTCAAAGTACATGTCTGCAGCCAACAATCCAAATACAAAGTGATTACTTTGAAAAGCAATCACAAGTAAGTTCAGCACTTTTTGGATGTCTTGGGAAAGGTGAAAATACCATAAATTAGTTTTAAGGATTTTAATGACAAATCAGTGAGGAGGCTTGGAGTTCAACTACTCTCAGCATCTCAGATGTAGACAAAATGACAAGTCATAGATATGACGTCCTAAATTCTTTAGACTGGATTTATTTTATGTACTGTTAACTGGATATGGGAGTTGGTTTCCTACTAAATGTAGTTGCAAAGGATCTTAAAGTAAATGAAGTAAATTGTCACAAAACTCTAGTGAAGTAACATTATTGTGTAGTTCTTTCCACCTCCCTTCCTTTCCTTTTCACCTTCCTTCTGGATCAGAGTATATAGAGAAAAGAATATAGTAAAGAAAAGTATTTAGTAAAATAAGTTATACAGAAATTTATATCCTTCCTCTCCAGTGCCCTTCATACTGACTAGAAAGGGACAGAGCAGACTCCTCACACCCATAGTGCTGTAGCTTGGGGCTTCAGTGAACATCACAAGAGATCAGTTCTATGAATGACATCAATACGGGCGTCAAAAGCCACAAGCATCTAAAACTGAGTTTGCTGAAAAGATTTTAAAATGACTGTTATTTTGATTAAAGGACAATTTGACCAGACACAGTGGTCAAGGTTGTAGACTTTATAATCATGGTCATAAGTGATATTTTAGCCCTGATACCAGTAGCACTTATTGTTCCTATTTTCCCAGGTCCTTTTAAAATGGAGCCTGGTTATGCTGATTTTTTAAAGCACTGGAATAGTCTTGCCTTGTGCAATAAAAGTGCAATAATGAACAGGAGAGGATACAGAGGTTCCCCCATGTGTCTGTCTGTCCAAACCACCAGGGGGGACTCATTCCTCATCTATATCATTCACTGCAACAAGTATCTGAAAGAAACCCACCTATTCTTGAACCAGGTCTAGAAAGGCATGGAGTTCAGCAGAGAGCTTGTCTTCATTTATGTTAAAGGAGCTTTTATATAAAATCTTGTAAATCTGCAGTGCTCTTTCTGGTCTGTCCATCAGTCACCCAATGTGCTGTGCAGCAAAGTACGAGTCCGGCTGCTGAGGGTCCCACTTTCTGCTGGGTCATCAGATATGCCAGTAAGGTACAGTCAGTGCCATCTCACGCGCCTACTTCAAATTGACCTGTGACTTTTGCTAAATCTATTGGACTGACAGAACACTCGGCAGAGAGCCTGGCTTGGCTTCTCACTGATTAGACTCGCTCCACATCAGTGGCCATGGCTCTTGGTTGAAAGGAACCTTTTTGTGACATGGTGACAGTACAGGTACAAGGTAGCTCTTCTTTAGCAGCTGCTCCTCCATTACTCCTTAGTGACTGTCTCGTTATTCCTTTTATTTTTCCAACTATTACAGCCTTACTGATTTATTTCAATGTCACTACATATTTTGCTATTTTTTAAAGCAAAATTTGTCCATTTTGAAACAGAACTGTATTATCACTATGATCACAAAGGGTTTGTATGTTTTATAGTGTCCTATTAAACAACAGTAAAAATCTGTGTACGATGTGTGTACAATATATGTACTCTGGAGATCTGTCAGCAAAGTTGTATAACTTTGAATTCCTAGTTAAAAGCCAAATGTTAGAAGATTCTTTCAGTCTTGAGCTCTGTCAGGCCAATGGAACTCTTCTTGTGGTCTGTAGAAAGATTTGGAAATACTGAAGAGAATTCTATAGCCATATTAATTTTTCAAATTTTGATCTGATTTTGTGAATTATTACAGCATTAAATCATTATTTGGTACTTTTAGGTAGTTTTAATAGAGTTCTCACTCCCTTCTCTTCTGGGCACAATCAGTCAAGATTTTGTGCATATAGCTGTTCCTAAATTATCATTTGTGTTACCTGTTTGGACTTCTGAAAAACAATTTCTTAAAATTTTGCTACACCTTTAAAATATGTAAAATATTACCCTGGTGTGAATAGAATTTGTAAGAAGAAAAGTTTTTAGACACTGTGATGGTGAGTGGGGAGTCAGAACAATGGATTAAGTTATATTTGTTATAAGTAATTTTTGTTGAGTCTCCTGCTTGGCCCAAAACCAAGTACCTGTCTATTGTGTATACTGCTTGGTTTTCATAAGAAATACAATTTCTGATCTAAGAGGAGGCTGAAGACACACATACAAATCAAGAGGGTAACTCAAGAAAATAATTTTATGAAGACATGTAAATAATTCTTCCATATTTTATCATACTTAAAAAATTAATTGCACATCCTGTCAGTTAGATGGTGGTTGTGCTCCCTTGTGTGAGGTATTAGACCTTTTAAAAATCTGTTTCTGTAGCTGAGACTAGCAATATTGCCGGATTTGTGCAGTAAAAGCTCACTCAGTTTAGTCCACAGAACCAATATAGCAGATACAGGAAAAATATGTTGTTCTTTGTGCATTGCACTAACAGCTAGAAATAAGGATGGGTATCCAATACCAGAAGTGCTTTAAGAGTTTTTGGTTTAGTTTTTCAAACTTGAGTATCAAAATGTGCAACCTGAACTGTTTTCAACAAGCCAGATTAAAACAGGGCTTCTTTAACAAGGGATAACACAGGACATCAGTGGTTCTGCGCAGTAACATGTCAGACAGACAGTTGCATTCAGCTCCCAACCTTACCTTCATTTGGAAATACATAATCTAATTGCACTCCTCTGGAGTGCTGGCATGTTCTGAAAGCACGGTGAGCTTTGTAAGAAGTTCATTCTGAAAACATGTGAGAGTTATGGACTACCATATCAATAAAAGAATGTACTTGGTTTTCATAATTTATGTATTTTTCTATTTTTCTCTTCTTTATTATGCTCAGGAAACTCTGTGAGTGTTTGAAATTGTGCCTTAAAAAATGTTGCGCCTGATGAGTCAACTAAACTTGCCCTTTACATGCTTCTGGTAATCATGATTTTACTTCTTCTCACTTCCCTATTCACACAGTTTTCTCTTTCATTTTTCACTCATGCCTTGAGCTGCATTGTCGGGGGAAAATATAACAACAAAAGCAGAAATTATTTTTCTTCACAAAATTTATGATGATGATAACTGATTGTGCTGCAGTAGGATTAATTAAGATTGCAGAGAATTTGACAACCGAATATTCCCCAAAGACACGTGACTGAAGATGACTGTGCTGAATTTTTGTTCCTCTTTCCCCCAAACAAAGTTTTATTGCATCGAATACTGAGCTAAATAACTAACTATGTTTGGACTTCTTTTTTTCATGTTATTCACCCCTGGAGTCAGTGAATTTCTTTGCACATCGTCAGATCTAGAAATATCATATACTTTTTGTGGTAAGTAAAAAATAGCTTATTCTTTTTTTTACTGGCATTTGCCTAATAATTACTGTAGTCTGATGAAATGTGAGCCTTCTTTCAAATGTCTTTCTTTGATGAATGCAGAAAAATAAAAAGATGTTCAACTGGAGTATATTTTTGTTATCAATTATCCTATTGTAAGAATTATACTGTGTAGTTGTAAATACTACCACAGTGCTGATTGCACGAAGAGAGAAGTTTACTCCCTAGTAAAGCAGGCATGTTGCAATTCAGGAAAAAATAATATATAAGGGGTTCAAACTTGTTTTGCGAGTACTGTATTGTATAAATTATCCCCATTGATTTAACCAATATATTACAATGAAAAACTGTAAGTCTATGGAAAAAGAAGGGAATGTGGTACTCTTCCAGGCTGGAGGATCAGTTGGGCTCTGGAACAGCATAGCGTGTCCTTTCTTGCCTTGTCTGTGTCATGGGCCGCTGGATCTATGTAGTTTGCTGAGTTTTTTGGTTGATTTTGCAACAACTTGGCACCTCCGTGATGTCCGTATTCAACAGGCTCAGTGTGCCCATGCGGACTCAGTGGCCAGAAGGTGGGCTTCAGAAAATCTGTGTGCGTTACTAGTCTATATTACCTGTAAAATAGCTATATAAACTGAGGCACAGGAGGGGATGTTTATTCTGGGTACTTTGCTTTACGTTAATACTCATGTTAAAATGTAACAAGGGGAATAGTGGTGGTACTTAAGCTTGCAAACCAGACCTTTGAGACCACGGTGAGTTTTGTTTGCCCTTTTTCCTGTTGTAATTTCCTGTGTGTAGTTGTATCCGAGATGAGAAGCTGGCTGCTGATTACCAACAGCCAGACAGTTTCCCTTTGCACGCCCCTTGCTTTAATCCCCCAAACACAAGACAGAACCCTTCCCTGCCAATCACCCTGCCTTCCCCTTTGCTGGCTGGGTTAGAGCAGGAAGCTCCTCTTCCCCTCCCTGGGGGACACTTCACAGAACCATAGAATGGTTTGGGTTGGAAGGGACTTTTAATGGTTATCAAGTCCAACCCCCCACAGTGAGCAAGGACATCTTCAACTAGATCAGGTTGCTCAGAGCCCAGTCCAACCTGACTTTGAATATTTCCAGGAATGGGGCTTCTACCACCTCTCTGGGCAACCTGTTCCAGTGTTTAACTGACCTCATTGTAAAAAAATTTCTTCAACCTGAGCACACTAGGGAGGGCAGAAGCAAGATGAATTGAACAGACCTTTCCTAAAATAAAAATAAAAATAGTGACTGGAAATCTTTCCAAAGGCTGCCACTGAATGATTTATTTAAAATTAAAATATCAGCTAGTGGGCTCTAAATTTGACTAGATACAGGTTGTATGATGCTCTATTGCACTGCATCTGACACTGTGCATTGTACAGTGCTAGGTGGTCACTCACAATGCAAATCTACTCAAAGGCTCATTTACATTATCCTGGAGAATGTGCTGGTATATTAAAAATATTTTTAGCTGTTGTCAGCAAGTTTATGTACATTCCATGGTTAGCTTAAGTAGGAATATTTTCAGCAGAGGACCATGCTGGGTTAGTGCTAATAAAAAGTTTGTGAAACTTCAAAAGAGAAATAAAGGTATTTGCTTCTGAGTTTTGTGTGCAAAATATCATCAACCAAATAATTGACTTTTCTTGCTACTTAAAGAAATATTATATTATTTTTGCCTTTGAAGCACATAAATAATTAAAAATATAATTTTAAATACATATTTAATATCCATATTAGACAAATTTATAGTATATATTTTATATTAAATACATTTTAAAATGTGCATGTGTTTATTGTGAGTGTGTATGTATGTATATTTTTATTAGTTTTATGGAGAAGCGTATTCACACTGCCAATATGAAATAATTTTTTCCTGTAGATTCTCCAGCCTATGCTTTCATGTTTAATCTGACACCTTGCAGCACTGTGAACAAATCCACCTGGAAGGCTGCTCTTACCTGGATTCCAAGTGAGTCCCTTTTGACTAGGGAATTATATTCTGCAAATGCAAAAAATCAAATACAAGCAAAAACCTGACACTTCCTAAATGCCAAATGATCTAGGATATCAGTTTCTGTGATTAAAAATGAAATAGATAAACTGTAATGATGGACAGAAATGATCATTTGTGTGAATAAGTGTATTTGAGTTTTACTTGTCGGAGCAGTTACCAGAGCTCTGCACTCTAACTAGCACTGTACCTGCAAATTTGAGACAGTTTAGGTGCATGTCCATTTATCTGGAAGAAGTAGACAAGATTTGCAGCACACAAGCTCTTCTGGCAGGAAGGACATCCAAGTCTTTTTAGGGGGAGAGAATATCATTAGCCTATGCAAGCATGGCAGGACTTGTAAGAACATACATGTTCCGGAAGCTGGAAATGGTACTGTATTCTGTATGTAAACTCAACTTTAATCTTTAAAACCAGCTTTAAGCTCTCAAGCTGACTTACTTATGAAACGGCTGTATCATAAACTTCACCTTCTGAGTAAAAAATCTGGAGCTGGACTAAATTTGCTTCACTAGAAAAATACTTTTATGATGGCTACCAGCGTTCAGGACAGTTTGCAACACCTGCTTAAAACTAGAGAGTCCCCATCTGAGTATTTCTTTGGGTTACCTGTAGAGGCGAGTGAACTCTGTTGTCTTTGATGAAGAAATTAAAACAGATTTTGAAATTGTTCACTCAAATATTTTTAAAGATTGATTTTTTTTGTTGAAAACTAGCTTTCTTTTTTCTGGAATGAACAGTTTTGTATTGTTGTTAGTTTTGCAGGGAGCCTTTAAAAATGTTTTATTTTGGAGAAAACGATTTTTTATCTAATCATGTGTCTGCATATATGTTTTTCCTCCTCACCAACTACCATTTTCTTACTTACAATGTCTTAACTAGGAAGTGACATCACCTTTTTGAAGGTTGTTTTTAAAGTCTGGTACAACGGTGCCAAAGCGTTACACTGGAAAGAAGTCCTTTGCAGAGGAGCTGATGACGAATACTCAGTGTGTGGAAAGCTGAAAGGAGGTCTGTACAGGAAACATACAGTGCCTTTCCCTTGCCTGGCAGGTTCTCTCCACATCAGGGCCATATCCTGCCATCTCTTTTTCACCACTAGTCAGATTTCTTAAAAGACTAATTGATCAACACATGCAGACAAATTTTTCTCTCCGCAGTCTAGAAAGATTCACTTTGCTTGGCAGGCAGCAGACTTCAGAGCAGGCAGTTCTCCAGTACCAGAACCCCACTAAAATAAGAGAATTCCTAAATTCTATGCTTTAACATCCTTGTACAGCAGTTTCTGTCTCTATAAATTAGGATTACTAATACCCTTAATCTCACTATGGCACTTTAATTGTTAACATCTCTAAGTGACATGGAAAGACTACATTTGACTGGACTGTACAGAAAACTTGAGAGTAGCTAGGGGCACTACTAATATCCAGAACACAGTTTATTCATATAAGTGTCTGGATGGATTTATAAAGAGATTCTATACACCAATGTATAATCGTTTTTTATTAGAGAAGATTCAATCCTGTTGTAGGGGCTAATTCAGGCAGGATGTCAGACTAAAGGCCAAAAAAGACCTGTAAGGAAGTAAAAATACTTAATCTATGTTTTAATTTCTTTAAAAATTAGTATCAGCTCTCTTTGGTTATCATTCAGCTGAACCCATATTACAAGTTAAATTATTGGAGTTACCACAGTAGGATGGGTCTGTAGGAGACGTTGCAGAAGCATTGTGGTTAATTTCTATTTTCTAATGTGGTTTAGACAAATAGGCAGAGCTCTGGGAGATGAAACAGGTGAGGGCTTTGTCACTGGAAGAGTAAATGGCACTAGCACTGCTACTGAGATATATGCCATATTGCTTTGAAGTTATTTAGGAGGTTTGATTGATGGCTTTATGACTAAGTAACCATTTATATTATCATTATCTCTGTTTTACAGAAACAATTGCATCAACATTTGATATTAAAGGTGCAAGAATAAAGTTTCCAAAGGTACTTTTCAGCATTTTATATAAAGAAATAACAATAGTAAAATAACATGCTTACATATATATATTTTCTGAAAAGAGATGTTCACCCAAACTGTAGAAAACAACAAAAGGAATTGCCGGAAAACTTTCTTATGCTTGAAGTGATGACTCCAGAATGGTAGCATCTCTGAAATGCTATATGTCCTCAGGTTACTATTCCTCTATTACTCCTCGTTTATTTTATAAAAGAAAAGACCACAAATATCAGCTAATGTCACCTTAATAATTCTATTTTGTTTGGTGAACTTGTTTCCTTTTACCCGCTTGAATGAATCCATCCATATTCTTTCTGCCCATTTAGTTCTTTATTTTACATTCTCTTCAGATGCTGGTCTGTTCCTCCCTGAAACCCTTTTCAAAGATTTGAAGAGGCATAACAATATCCACAAGTAAATGCAATGCTCCAACGTTAAACCAGGAGCAGCATCAGTTCTCAGGTTAGCTCACTCTCAGCCTACATCTGCTGCCTGAGCCTTCCCAAAACACTTACCATCCCTATTAATCCCCACAAATGTCTCTAAGGAGTTCCTACTGGTATGAAATCTCCAGTCTCCCCTTAACAAAAAGCTCATGGGCTCATGTTCGGCTCTAACAGTGCTGAATTCCATCCAGCCCAGCAACTCTTCTAGCCCCAGAGCAGACAGTAGACAGCAATGTCCTCTGTCATAAGCAGTCCTCCTTTAAATGAGGTGCCTATGGAAGACCTGACACGTCCTGATGGGACTCTGCCAGACCAGGAACTAACCCTAATCATAGCCTTTGCTGTAAACTAGAAACCCTGCAAGCCTCTGAGTCTTTAGATTAGTCCCAAGACCCCTTCTTCTCCCAAGTGCTCTTCCCCAGCTTGGCATACTAGAAGAGGAAGGTAACAGGTATCAAAGAAGGTCAGGTAAGACCTGAGTTCAGTAGGTGCCACCAACCTATCTTCTGTCTTGGTGTCTACAGAAGTCTGTCTGTGTGAGAGTGAAGATGAGTAGCTAGAAACAGCTAAACCTGAGGTGATGCTGCTTTATGCATCAGACTGCTGGATGTGGGTGTGCAAAACAGTGGGTCTGGAAGGAATGCTCAGCTGGCACCAGGACCAGTATTGCTTACAGCAGGGTGGCCTGCAAGAAAGCATGGCTGTCTTAGAGCTGGGCTTATGGCTAAGGTTCATGCAAGCAGTGTCCCACTAGTCAGGGAGCAGATGCTCCATGCAGGGAGCTGAGCTGGGCCCTGACAGTGTGATTTAAGTAGGCACCTTGAAACTTCACACTAGGAGAAGTGCTGGCTATACTTTGACCAGGGACTGATGAATGACTATAGCACTCTTCTCACATGGGTCCTTCCTCCCACTCTCCTCTCTCAAGCATACTTCTTCCTCATCTTAACATCATCTCCAAACTCAGGACAAACCTTTTGCCACCAATAATAGTTATGAGTTTGCTCAGCTTTAATGAAGCAGATATTTGATGTATTCACATCATACATTCACTATAAGTTGATGATTTTGGTAAACGCCACTGAGACTGAACAGCAGTTTAATATCCAGTATGTGATTATAGCTGAAAACAAAAAGATGGTCTGTCCAGTACAACAAACTCTGTTACAAGACTGGTCAGAAGATGTGTAGACAGGATGATTTCCCTAGGTCTGCCTGTAAAATACAGCGGCTGTTACTGCAACTGCCTGTGGTCTGTATATGGGTATTGGGGCAAGAAGGTGGCAGGAAGTCAGCAGGAAATGGAAGTGTTGATAGGACTGAATCCTTGCTGGATGAAAGCTGTAAGCACTAATAAGGGTCCCCTCACAGCAGGGACAAAGAAGCCCATTGCTGTAGAAGGCAATCTCGTATATCAATTCAGTTAATTCCTTTTTGTGGAGTCAGAAACATTACTCAAGAGAACAGCTTTGGAAAGGGTGCCCTGGAGAGCACAGAACTCCAGTTTGAGAGAGGACCCTGACAAGTACAAGCTGGACCACAGCCTACTGCTGCTCCTTAGTACCCTTGTCACAAGAGGAAAGTTGAGCACTACTTTTTTATGTACACATATATCTGAATATACCCATGACACAGTCCCTGATAGGAATATTTCTTTTTTCCATCCTAACAAAAATCACCAGAACCATTCCAAGCAGGTACTTAGACAAGAGTGGGCAGTATTGTGCACTAATTGTCTTTTTTTTTTTTTTTTTCCTTGCTTGTTTTAGGGCAATTACAACGTTATTTTCCAAGGATTCTCTGATGACTCTGAGAATAATTTGGTCATATGCTTGAATTTCACTATGATAGTAAAACAAGATGCTTTCTGAATGCAACAAACATTTCAAATAATTCCAGAACAGAGGTCACTTCTGCAAGCAACTGGAATCTGAACTGCAAAATAATAAGCATACTAATTTTCCTAAGGTAGAAGACATCATGTCTTCTGGAAAGACTGTCTGGAAAGCTACATGATGGATAGTCTTATCCGTTTATAGCACTTCTGTAATCAGATGCTTAGACAATGTGCAGAAAATCTCTGGGAATCAGGCATCCTAATTAATCCACAGAATAACCCTGACTGGGTGTCAGGCTGAGGACTGCATTTTGGTGCTGTGCCTTGAGTTATGAAAAAGCTGAGTCCTTCAGACTGCACTAAATTAATACAGGAAATTTTGAATTGCAAGAATCAGAAGTTTGCCAGTAGTCAACATAAAATAAAACAGCAATTGAATCTGGGAACGCTGTTGTGTTTGGTTTGTTTTTTATTTTTGTTTTTTTTTTTCTTTTTATGATAAAACATGTTTGTACAATCAAATTGAGAAATGTTTTCTATTCTTCTATTATTTCCTGATTATCTTTAGACATTTCCTAATGTTCTGCTCCATTTGCACCAGGCTGAACCAGAAGAATAACAATTTGTTATGCGGTACGAGCTGATGTGAATAACTTGATTGTGAAACATCTGAACTGGAACATGTTTCCAGTTGCACTGATACGATATGGCTGAATTTATCCATCCAGAGCTGTAACTGCAACCCCATAGCATGTTTTTGCCACTTGCTCAGAGTCTGAGGGGCAGAAGCTAAACAAGTTGTCTCCTTCAGAAGCAGGAGGATGGTCATTGCCCAACAGGTTGATGTATTCCTCAGTTATCAAAAGCGTACCTAAAGCTTTTGCTGTGGCTTCTGCCTCTTGGGCAGCTTGATGTTCAGTACCCACCTTTTCTCTCTGCTGCACCTCCACACCCGAGACCTTGGGTAAGATTTTGATGGAGTACGAGATTTGGTCCTTAGGAAGAGAGCTGGCATCCTTTCAGGCTTCATGGTGCTTTGGTGCCACTGTATGGTGAGAGAGCGCTGACCACTGCAGTGTGCAAATGCTTCCTGCCTTCCAACAGGTACCCTCCTCAGGACATTAGTATGCCATGTCCTCTTTTCATCCTCAGCCCACAGCCAGCAGTTGCTTAGTGAGTTCAGACGCTTTTCGCTAATGAACAAGCTGGTGTTGAAGTTGCATGTTGCGCTAACTGCCAGGTCTTACTGTGTCTAGCAGATTGCTTCCGAAAGCCTGAAAAAAATGAAACACCAGAACAAACCAGCCCTCTTTCAGAATGCTAAACACCAAGCATGAAAATTAGTAGAAGTGAAGCTTTTAACATCACTTTGCATGTAAAGATGTTTTTCAAATTGGGCATCAGAAAACTCCACAAAAAACCCACACTCAAGGATATAGATACTCCATTTAAAAGTTGATTTCAGTATAGCTAGTTTGGCAGTCTAAAGCACAACCATCATGGATTAATAAAAATACAAGAAAAAGAACTGTGTCATGGCTGGAGACAAGAAGGCACGATTACATCCAAGTGGCAACAGCAAAGCATCTGTGCTTGTGTTCAATCCACAGACCATTCCAGGAGCAGTCCGTGATAGATTATCACAGCAGCTCCTGCTTACATTTGAACCAAGTTACTAGACTTGCAATCAGTTTCCTCTTAATCTAAAATATCAATTGAAAAGCAACCAGAGAGCCTGATAACCAATACCTGCTTCTCCTACTCTGTTTTACTCATTTCAAATAGTATCACTGGTCTAGGGAACAGTCTTACTGTATGACGTTCCTGTGTACCCATTTCACAGTGTCCAGCAACTACCAGGTAAAGCCTCAAAACAGATTTTAGTGGCCAGGTGTTCTGAGAATTTTGCTGCCCTGAATTATTTGGGGTGTCAGAAGAAATGATTTGTTTATTAAGCAACAAGTACCACAGGTAGGAGTGACTAACAGCTCCTGAAAATCAAGGACATTCACATGCTCTATTTTTCATAAGCACATGTTGTAAAACCTTATAGGTGTTATGGAAAATTTACAGTATATGTAGAGGTAGAAATAGAATTTCTGTATCTAAATAGGGACATTTACAGATAAATATATGTATTCTTGCATTGCAGACTTTTATAGTGTAGATTTTCAGCTGAAGGGTTATGATTACACATGCCAGCAGATAGGATTGCGAGGCAGAATGCAGGAGTCACAACTTTATAAAGCAAAGACCTTTCAAAGGCCTCAAGCTCTCTCCTACGCATGACCAAAGGTTTCCACTTATTGCAGCACTGATGGCTGCTGTGTCTCATTTCCCCATGGACAAGAAGAGACAGGTCTTTGTAAGGTGTGAGATCATGCAAACAGCTTACCCCAAATTTGCCATGATACTGTAGGGTGAAGGGCACAGCTGAAGGCAGAGCTTTGCTCTATGTGTCTTCTTCCCAGGACAGAGCTGTTACAAGACTTTCTTCTGCTGTTGTCCAGAGTTGACAACAATTATCATTTAACTTTTTTCCTTTCCAGACTTTCCTTAGTCCATACTCAGAGCTCTACAGCAAAGAGAAGTCTACTTAGGATGAGGAATTACTTGACTTGGTAAAGACTGATCTGAATGTTTCCCTTCTCTTCAATTTATTGGGTCAGTAGACTTTGATCCATTTTTTTACTTCTTTATTTTCTGGCTCTGTCCAGAGTTTGAATGGTGTGAATGCTGGGAAGTAAAGCATTCACTAAGTATTTCTTGATTAAAATAATCAGTGAGATCTGCACATCCTGAGATATCTGTATTTTACCAGGAGTTCCAGTGAGCTGTGCAAAGCCCCGTTCCCTGCAAACTGAAATAAATAAAGGAAGAATTCATGTGTGGCATACTTATCTGAAACTAATATCTCAAGCTTTCACAAATATATCTTTTTCTCTCCCTCATTACTGTTGTTTTTAAGTGGCTGCTAGGATTTGCTGCAGATGGGAAAATAGCTTTTCTTCACCCCCTCACCCTCTGTCGCCAAATATGTAATTATCAGAAAAAGCAGTTCCTATAAAATGTGTTTTCCAATAAGTGCACACACTTTTTGAGCTGTGTTATTATGGTTTCATTTGATAAAAACAGTAAAGCAAGCGTAATTTCAAACTAAAGGAGTCCTTCTGACCGCCGATAACTCATAGATTTGCTGTTTGAGATTGTAACATCATTTGAGATAGACACACAAAGAAAATTCAGGTATTATGAGAGCAGATCTTGTTTCCAGAGATGTACTGGAAGACATAAGCAATCCCTCAGTCACCAGTTAGTTTAGCTGGTAAAATGTACGTGTACACATACTGAACAAATAAACTGCACGGTGACTACCTCAAGAAGGAGTTGGACTTGATGAAGTAGGAGATGCATCCTGATCTGTGTTAGAGGCATCACAAGAGAAACACAGCAGCATTAATCCCTTTTACACATTTTTTTACTTGGTGGAAAATGCTAATAATTGCCTCTGAAGTGGCAGTGTAGCACATTGTGCTGAATAACTTCAGCTGCTTCGTTCTGCCAACGTGTTCCTGCCAGCACAGGGAGTTCAGGGGCAGCAGATGGAGATAGTGACATTTCTAATGGGAAGAGATGGGGAAGGAAGGGAGGGCAGCTCATGGCTGCGGAGCTCAGGGGAGACAGGACAGGAAAAAAGAAATGTGAAAACTCTCCTCGGTGGCGTTAGAAATGACTGGACTTTGGAAATGTGACAAAACAGTCACTGTGCACGTGTACTTGTCTTGTGGATCCCAGGCACAGGGACCTTGCTGCACGGCTGCTGTACATGGGTATGTCCATAACCTCTTTTCTTCAAGGTACATCTTACAACGGGCAAAGAGGGGACTTATATCTATGTAAAATATGTATTTATATATACATCCACACATATATGTATTTAAACAGATAATTTATAATGGTTTCACAAAGCTTCTTTCTGCAAAAACCCCTCATTTTTTTCCTTGGGCTTTAGCCTAAACTAAGCCTTAGCTAAAGATGTTGTGCTTTTAAGTTTAAATTCCTTACTAACATGATTTCTTACTGACATAACTAAGAAAGCAAAAGCTTTAATAGCAAACCTGACTCTTCATTCACAGGAGGGAACGGCCACTCATTCTGAGTATTAAGGTCTTGGTCTGTCCATTTTCCTGTCCTGCACAAAACTTTGAAGTACTACAGAGTAGGTGATAATTTTATCTCAAATTGTAACATCTGCTAACTGGGCACATCTGTTCTGTTTTTTGTTCTCCAAAAGTTTTGTCATCTCTCTTGAAGAAGTACCTCCACACTGATTATGAAGTTCAATTAATTCTTCCATACAGTCTGTTCAGCCAGATTTGATTTAGACATTTCACTGTATTACCCCTTTTTTTTGTACTTTTAATATAGTAGTGTTTTTTAACAATTTCAATAGTGCAAATTAAAAACAAAACAAAACAAAACAACACAAAACTACTATAATTAAAGATAAATACAGAAAAGCAAAATTCTAGCATTAGTTCTCTGAAAGCAACAGACTGAAAAAATCTGCCCTTCACTTATGAGATGCATAAAGGATGAAATAATCAAACAAAACATAATGCATACGAGAGTGAGCTGTTGTTTGTTTTGACCCTAAATTAACTCTGTTTTATAATGACTTCACCATATTTCACATCTGAATATCAGCTGGACAGACTGGTAGTTATCTTTTATAATCTTACATTGCACTGAAGAAATCTGCCCTATGTCTGTGAACATTGCATGTAGTGGACTTTTCCTAATATCTTTAAAGCATTAAAGATGTTTTAATTGCATAGGTATAACCTAGATAGAACAATGAAAATTATTAATGAAAGTTTCACATATGACTGTCAGAAAAACAGGCTGACAGCAGCAATACGCCTTTCTGGTTCCCCAAGCTACCTTCCAGTGACTCTGACTGCTAGATATACAGTTTCTCTAACCTACAAAAGTTTTGGTGATTTTAATATTCTAATTAGAGAGGAAAGATAT